CAAAACAAGAAAGACAACCAATCAGAATCACAGGCATTTTGGAGAAATTATTTTTACCAGTGATGGCAACAATTTCTTTTAAGGTCTTGGGAGTCTTAAGCCTTCCAAAGAGAGATTTAATGTTGTGGAGAACAGAATACGTCTGCAAGAATTATGAAGGCCCACCTAGGTCTCCGTAGCTCATGGGAGAACCAGATGAGTAGGCTGTGAACATTCTCACTTTAACAGCCTGTCTAGTGAGAGTCTCCATCTCTTCCTTAGACTTCTTATGTTCATTATGATGACTTGCATTTTTAAGGCCAGGCTCTCAAATTTCACTAGTTAGCATTATAAGAAAAAAAGCCAACCTGTAGGCAGAAATACAGAAAGAATTGAATAAGATTTATTTAATAATAATGAAAAAGACTCATATTGAGAGGTTCTTCTACATGTCTTGTGTTTGGATTATTTTCTCACTTTCTATGGTAATTCCTAACATAAAAGAAGAAGGAGATAAATATTCTGAGCACTGGCACGTGTGAAAGCCCTTTATTCCACTGTCTCATGCCAATAACCATTTGACATTACGATTCTAGGTTGAAAAACGCCTCCCTTGGAAGTGTGAAGGCATCCTGTCGTACGCCCGCCTTCAATGTAACAGCTGAGAAGTGGAATCCATTCTCATTCTTGTTTCTTTGTCGGTGACTTTTTTCCCTCTCCAGTAGCTTTTAGAATTTTCTTTTTGTCTCTGGGATTCTGAAATTTCACGATGCTGTGCTTTGGGTCATTCTTCATGAAAAGCTGGACAATAGTGGGTTATCTAAATCTGGAACCTCATGCTTTTAACTCTAAGTAACATTCTTGTATCATTTCTTTGATAATTTTCTCCCTTTCACTTCCTGTTTTATCTTCTAGAACTCCTGTTAGTTGGATGTTGGTTCTCCAAATTGATCTTTTATGTTGCTGTGGACATTTTATGAGGCTAATAAAAAAGAGCCCTTTCTTTTACTTTTAAGTTTGAAACCAATTGAGAACTGAGACACAGTAGACAGATAAATGGATATCAAGATATTAGCTTTATTGCTCATAAGCAGGGAAAGAGGATTTGGCTTAAAACCTTAGAGCAAAACGACTTGTTAATATTTCATTCAAGAACTAGGCAGACATAGCTACTTTGTCGTGGGCAGAGCTGGGAAAAGCAGGCCTTCCCTGCAGGGATGGGCTCAGTGCTGCCTGGCAGAAAGTAGATTACAAGGTGGGCAGGGAGACACGAGAGAGCCCCACAGGGCTGGGACAGGCATGCTCAGTGAGTCAAGCTTCATCCCCTGGGGAGGAGGGGGCACAGTCTGGAGAAGGACCCAGAGAGCTTCCCTAGTGGGAAATATACACAAAACATGAGGCCAGGGGAAAAAAAATCTCCCTAATTTAGCTATCTGTTTTCTCATTAAAAAAAAATTTTTTTTTAAATCTCTTTGTTTCTTTATTTTTTTTTTCTGGAAGATTTCCTAAATTTACCTTCCATAGCTTTTGTTAATTTTCTTTGGCTTTAACAATATTTTTTTATTTTCAAAAGTCCTTTCTTGTTTTCTGAACAAGTATCTAGAATATACAAGAAATTCTGGCTAATCAACAAAGTGAATTCAGGAAACCCAATAGAAAAAGGGATAAAGGGTATGAAAAGGCAGTTCACACAAGGGGAAACCTGAGTGACCAGCAAACAGATGAAGAAATGTTCAAACCCACTAGTAACCAAAAATGCAAAACAAAAGGCCGGTGAGACAGCATCAGACTGGCAGCAATTGAGAAGTGGAATAGTATCAAGTGTTGGGAGGGATGAATCAGAAGAGGGAGCCCTCACGCGCCCGTGGTGGGAGCATCACTGGCAAGCCATTCTGGAGAATGTGCAGTCTTGCAGGACTCAATGAAATGAAGCACGAGAATACTTTGTGAGCTCTCAATTTCACTCCTGGATGTATTTTACAGGGAAATTCTCGCCTAGGTCCATGTGGGAACATGATGAAGCGTTAATAGCAGAGAGAAAACAGGAAGATAATTTCTAGGTTATTAATATTTTCATAGAAGGGGCAGAGATGGAAGACGTGGTGAGGGGATAGAGAGGAGGAGGGGGAGGATGAGGCAAGCAAAGAAAGAAAGAGAAGAAAAATTGCACTAAAAAAGAGCATTGTGGATATGATCACATCAGTGTAAAAATGTGTGTGTGCCTGGAATATAGGAGAATATTCTGTGACCTAGCAATTTCATTCTTGGATATAGTTATAAGAGAAATTCTCACCTCAGTCCACGTGGGACTATGATGAGAACATTAATCACAGTTGGTGGAGGCAGTTGGGTGTTGGCAACAACCTAGGGTTCCTTAATGGACTCTGATGGACACACGCCATTGAATACTCTGTAGCAGTTCATAGCAACAATCCAGATGTACAAATAGCAACAGGGATAGATCCTAAACATTTATTCTTGGAGAAAAAGGTCAGGAACAAATGAGATTTATAAAAGTTCCTTTTATGGATATAAAACACACACACACACAAGCTACACCAGATATTTTATAAGCATACATATTTAAGAATACATATTGTTCCAATTACCTATTGATCCATAACATTCCAACCCAAAACTTCAGTGGTTTAAAACAAACAACTATTTATTATTTCTCGAGATTCTCTGGGTCAGAAATTTGGGCAGGGCTAGGCCAGGTGGACCACGTGGTGTTGGCTAGGATTACATACTTGGGTGCATTCAGCTGGTGGCCGGGCTGGGCTGAAAACTCCTAGAAGGCTTTGTTCTTATACTGGAGGCCTCAGAGCTCCTTTCTGTGATCTGTCTCTGTCTTTGTCTGTCTGTCTTTCTCCATATTGTGTCTGCCCCCACCCCGCACCCCAGGCCTCTCCACGAGGTCTCTCTCTCCAGCAGGATAGCTGGACTTCCTTATAGCATGGTGGCTGGTCTCCAAGAGTGAAAACTGAAACTTCCAGGTCTCTTGAAGGCTAGGCCCAGAACTGGCAGTGTCACTTCTAGAGTTTTCTATTGGTCAAGGTAAGTCACACGGTCAGCCCGATTCAAGGGAAGGGGAAACGGACTCTACTTTTGGACAAGTGGTGTGACTTGTGCATACAGTGAGGGAAGTTGGCGGCCACCATCTTTGGAGAATGTCACATGTAGCAGACGCCATTTTGGTTGCCTGTGGAGAGTAGAGGAATTGGTGTGGGAAAACAGGGTGGAGGAGGGAAGGTAATAAAACAGGAGAAAGGTGTTGCTGAGATCTCTGAGGAAGACTGGATGTCATGAACTCAGCAATGTGACTAATCTACCTTCTGTGCCTGAGGTACAAAAAACCCCCAAACCAAAATCAACCAAATAAAACAGGATTCCATAATCAAAATCAGAAAACCCCACCAAAAAAGTAACAAGACATTATGAAAACTTCAGAAATGGTCCAAGTATATGCCAACTCTTGGTATGTTAAAATGCTGACTTTCAAATAGGAAGAAAGGGAAGGATGCAGAGGATGTTTCTTGTTTTCTCAGTCCTGTCTTGCCAGTCAGGAGGGTGGTTGTAGCCTGAAACATGCAATTGGTTCAGCCGAGGTCAGCGGCCAGTGAGAATCCCCTCGTCCCGGATGGCAGTTGGTGAACCTTGACACGCAGTAGGTGATCCATTTGTTAAGCTCTAGCCTGTTGTCTTGGAACTAAAACCTCATCCCTGCCAAGACTGGGCTTCATGGCAGTGTTTTTCAAACTTTGAATTGTGACCCATTAGTGGATGGGGAAACGACTGAGTTGGTCATGAAATAGAATGCAAGTAGTAAGGTAAACATTGTTTTATGAAACTTTCATGTCAATTATCTACAAATTCATTCATTCAATCAGTCCTTCATTCAATAAACACTTGAGCACGTGCTGTGGGCCAGCCGCTGGGGGTTCAGAAGAAAGGAAAACGTACAAATATGCGTGCGTGGGCGCAGGTGCGTGCGTGTGTGCTCGAGATCACGTTGGAAAACATTATCTCTTACTGTGGGTTACAGTCAAAAACGCAAAGCAGCCACCACTGCCTCAGTGGCTTCCTAGGAATGTCAGCATACTGGAGTGTGTGGCTGCCTCCTGTGTGTGTCAGAAAGTTACCACAAGAACAGCACAGGCCTCTGTTCCAACCCCTTTGCAGCACCAGGGGAGACATGGGCAACTTTATAAGAAAACTCCGCCCACAGCCAGCAGCCCAAGTTTGGAGGGTCAGGAAATCGGGGATGAAAACTATTTTCTTTCCCGAGCTATTGTTAGTGCAAATGTAGACGGTGAGTTAACCACATTCCTCAGTTCATGGAACCCCGCCTTCCTCATAGCACTGTGAAGACCCCTCTCTTAGGGGCAATTTCCCTACCCTCTGACCTCTCCACCCCGGGCAAGTCACAATCTCCCTGAGGTTCCGTTTCCTCCCCTGTGACGTGGGAACAACAAAAGGACCCGCGTCCTGTGTGTTGTGTTGTGGGGGTTACACGAGAAAATGTCTGTAGAGCATGGGGAGCGGTGCCTGGTCACGAGGACAAAGGTTTGTGTTGCCAGGGCCGTGGAAGGGGCTTATCGAGGTTGAATTCCTTCTGCCTGAGGAGGGCTGCCTTCTGAAGTGCTCTTCCCTCCTCCCCCTGTGCTTCCAGTTCTTGAGGGACTTTACTCCCCAGGAGAGTGGAGCGAGTTGGCCCAGAGCTGGGGAGCCTGGCGGCTGAGCCCGCAGGATGTTGGGGCCTAGGCTCAGACGCCAGATTGGGCAAGAGCAAAGAACCGGCCCCTCTGATCCTAGTCAGGGATATTTGGAGACACCAACAATTCTGGGAAATGTAGAGGCAGGAAGTGAAAGGAGGAGGGGCAGAGGGGTAACAGTGAACTGCACCCCGGCCCCTCCTGGCCTGGCCCCCCTCTCAAACTGTGCGATGAGTGAGATGACCAGCATGTGGGGAGGGAGGGCACAGACCAAGACACCCTCTTTGGGAAGAACAGAGGCAGTCCTGTCCCCCGCCCCCACTATGCTTTGCCTGAGTTCCAGCTCTGCTTCCTCTTCTATTTACTGTCCAAAGTCCCGGGGGCAGGAGACGCCAGGTTAGAACCACTTGGACACTCAGACACACGGGCTTAGGGCCCTCGCCAGGACTAGCTCCAACCCTGCCTCTCCTCTTCTCATCTAGTACCACCTGCCGCACTTCTCCTGGCTCCAGCCCCTCCTTTGCCCTGGGGCCTGGGCCGCCTGAGGGACCCAGCAGTCAGCTCTCCATACCTCCAACAGGTAACCAAGGTTGGGGTGGCAGGTGGAATTGGGGATGTTTGGGATTAAGGAGACCCTAGTTCAGGGACAGTGGGGGCCGGATGGGAAGATGCGGGGTGGTTTGGTCCAGAAGAGTGTGGAGGGAAGGCTCCTGGCCATGTCAAGGTCTAAGCAATCTCCTGAGACGCGATGGGATCCAGCTGTGTTTCAGCCCCAAACTCACCTCCAATCTCAGACCCAACCCAAGCCATCGCCTCAACCTACTCAGACCCTACATTCCACCCCATCCTCAGCCTCAACCTGAATTGGCATCTGAGCACAAGCATCAGCGCTCAGCCTCAGCCCCAAGAGCAGCCTCGACCCAACTCCAGGTCCAGCTCCAGCCCTGGACCCAGCATGGCAAAGGACTTTCAAGACATCCAGCAGCTGGACTCGGAGGAAAATGACCACCAGCTCGGTAGAGGTGAGGGGCCAGGCTCTTGGAGGCACCATTCCAGGAGAGAAGATCCATTCTGGAAAGGCAAGTGTCCAGTCTCTGGGGCTTGGTCCCACCTCTTTCTAGCTCCTGATCACTCTCTGTCTCTCTGAGGTCTGTCACATTCACTCCATGACCAGGGGCGGGGCCCCTCTAGGTATGAGGTGCCCAACACTTCTGCTTGCCCCCTGACCTCACCTTCCTCTCCACCCCCAGGACCGCAGGAAAGGGTGTGTGCCCAGAGGTGAGGGGATAACTGGAAGCTGGGGACCACTTCCTCCCTTCTTCCTTCTGACCTGAGCAGTGTGTGCTGTGTGTGTGCACGTGTGTGTGCAAGGAAAGCACATTTAGCCAGGAGATCGTGTATGTGTGCGTGTGGGGGGCATGGAGATGGATGGGTGGGGGACTGGGGACAGAGGGATCCTGGAAGATTCCTGCTCCTCGCAACCCACCTGTCTGGATCCTTCTCTAGCACATCTTGACCAAAGGCCCCAGTGTCTGGGAAAAGGTTTTAAGGTGAGAGAGAGCTGAGTGGTTCTAGGCTGAAGGGCAGGAGCCAGGGGTTGGGGGGTGGGTGACAGGTGTGTGGGTGCTGGTGATGGAGCGAGGCTCTGTGGAACAGGAGGGGTTGGGGCTCGGAGCTCAGGAAGGCGCACTGGTTAGCCTGGGCTGGGAGGAGGGACCCCTCATTCCTGAGGCTGGCAGATGGAGGGAGGGCTGGTGCTGTTGCAGGTGAGGGTGGGAGCTGGGCAGGGCAGGAGCCGCAGGAGGGACAGGCATTCCCACCTACGGTGTCTCCTTTCTCGGGGTAGTGGGCTGGCAGGCAGTAGGCTGCATGGGGCAGAGGCCAGACCCATATCACTCCCTCTGCATCCTCATTGCGCGCGTGATGCCTGGTACTAGAGAGACTCAAAAACGACTTTGGATATTGTTGAATCTTCTGAGGGCGAGAGGATTCAGAGTTTAAGCCGGAGGCTTGGAGAGAGTGCAGAGGTTTTGGATTTCACGGGAGAGGGAGCTCACCCAGAAGGGCTGAGGACAACATGGCAGGGCAGGTCTGAGGCGGGGCACCCGGCAGTGCATTTCCCTCCAGCAGCCTCCGCTGCCTTCAAGTGAGTCGACACCCGTCACCTGCTACCAGGGGCCGCCTTCCACTCTGCCTTGCCCTTCATACAGCTACAGTTTTCAGCAAATCTCAAAACGTTTTGGCCATCGTTTCCTTCTATATTTTTTCTGCTGCCCACCCCCCTTTCCTCCAAGGACTCCAATTATGCGCATATTAGCGTCCCACAGCTCATTGATGCTCTTTCTATTTTTTTATTTTTGGATTCTTTTTCCTCTTGGCATTTCTATTTAAATGGTTGTTATTGCCATGTCTCTAAGCGCACTAATCTTTTCTTAGGCATGTGTAATCTTCCATTAATTCTACCCAGTGTATTTTTCATTTCAGACACTGTAGTTTTTATCTCTAGAAGTTCAATTTGGGACATTTAAATATCTTCCTTGATAATCTACTTAATTTTTTGAACATATGGAATACGGTTATAATATCTGTTTTAATGTCCTTGTTTGCTAATTCTCACATCTGTATCGGTTCTGGCTCAGTTTGGATAGATTTATTAATCTCCTCATTGTGAGCTGTGTTTTCCTGCTTCTTTCTGTGCCTGGTAATCTTTGACTGGTTGCCAGACATTGTGCATTTTACCTGGTTGGGTGCTGGATATATTTGTATTCCTCTAAATATTCTTGAGCCTTGTTCTGGGACAAATCACTTGGAGTCAATTTGATCCTTTTCGGTCATACTTTTATGATTTGTTAGGTGGGTCTGGAGCACCACGGAGGCAAGAACTTCTGGGGTCCTCTCCTCTCTGGCCTGTGGGTTATGAGTTTTCCAGTCTGCCCTGGGAATAGGCACTGTTCCTGGTCGGGTGTGAGTGCCAGGCACTGTTCCCTAATCCTGTCCGATTGGTTTTCTCCTTGCCTTGGTAGTTTTCCTTACACGCCTGTGCTGATCAGTACTCAGCTGATGGCTTGAGGGAACCTTTGCTGATCTCAGGGATTCTGTGTGCAGCCCTCTCCTCTGCTTCTCTGTCCTGTGAAGTCTAACTACCTTGGTCTCCTCAGACTCGCAGCTCCATCTCCTCAACCCAGGGAGTCTGCTGGATTCTACTTGGACTTCTCCTCCCTGCCCTGTGGCCTGGAAACTTTCTCCCAGCACTAGGCTGGGGCAATCGTGGGGATCATCTCATTTGTTTCCTGTCTCTCAGAGATCACTGCCCTTGGTTGCCTGATGTTTGGTGTCTTGAAAACGGTTCTTTCTCTTTTCTTAGAGTTACCTGTTTTTTGTTGTGGTTGTCTCTGGGAGGAGGATAAATCTCGTTCCTATTATTCCATCGTGCGCAGACCCTTTCTTTTACTTTCAAACTTGCCTAAGCAGCACTTTACATGTTTTAACTCATTTCATTCTCAGAACAACCCAATCAGATGGCTACTATTCTTTTTTTCTTTTTATTGCAGTAGCATTGGTTTACAACATTATATAAATTTAAGGTGTACATCATTATACTTCTATTTCTGCATAGATTACTTCTATCCTTATCCCTATTTTTTTCTTATTGTGGTAAGAATGCTTAATATGGGATCTGCCCTCTTAACAAGTTTTTTAATGCACAATACTGCATCGTTAACTATAGGTGCAATGTTGTACAGCAGATCTCTAGAACTTATTCATCTCGCATAACTGAAACTTTATACCCGTTGAATAGCAACTCCCCATTTCCCCTCCTCAGCCCCTGGCAACCACCGTTCTCTCTACTTCTATGAGTGTGACTATTCTAGATTCCCTGTGCGAGTGGACATGAGAAAACTGAGGCACCGAGAGGCTGAGTGACTTGTCCACAATCTCAGAGCTAGTTGGTGGCATAGTTGGATTCAGCCGTGGGCGGTCTGGTTTCAGGGTAGAGGTTCAGAGACAGATTGCTGACCCAGAGTTGGGGATTTATAGGTCATAGGTCAGGTTGGGAAACAGGACAAGGGCCTGCTGAGTGGACAGTACTGGAGCGAGCCACTCGGCCATGGAGTCCCAGGTGGGTGGGGAAGACTGTGGTCAAGGAGAGCTTCCGGAAGGCAGCTATGCTCACCAACGCCACTAGGGAGAGCTTCTGGATGGAGAGAAATGCAGGGGATCAGGGAAGATGTGTGGGGGAGAGAGAGAGGCAAGGGGGAGGCTGTGCTGAGAGGGGGGTGGGCAGTGGAGGTGTTGGAGACATGGCCTCTTGGGATCAAGGTGAGATCCTGACGTGGAGGAAGGTGATAGTCATTGGTGTGAGGAGGTCAAGAGTTCTGGGTGGTCACTCACAGGGACAGTGTCCAGCTCAGCATAGTGGCAGGAGATGAACTGGGAGGAAGATCTTGGGCCCCTGACTGAGCCTCCCAGGCCGTGGGGCTGCCTGGGTGTGACAGCAACGAGGAGAGAGGGGCGGTCAGGGTCTGAGGCAGAGAAGGTGGGAAGAAAGCAGGAGCTCAGCGCTGGGAGGAGAGCCATTGCTCCAGGCCTGGAGAGCCGGCAGGCGGGGCGAGGCCAGCTCTGTGTGTGTGAAGACGTGGGTGTGTGTGTGTGTGTCGTGTGTATATGTGTGTGAGGTGTGTGCTTGTGTGCTCCAGTATGTGAGAGAGTGTGTATGAGAGAATGTGCGTGTTAATATGTGTGTTAATGAGTGTGTGTGTTTGTAAGAGTAAAATGAAAAATGAGTGTGTGAGTGTGTGTGTGGTCAGAGTTCATCTTGATCGAGGGGAGGGAGAGGTTTCTGTGAGATGACTGCTGGCTAAGGGGAGGGAGTTTACAGCAGAACAAGGGTTTCTGGGGGGCGAGGCAGAGGAAGTGGGAGAGGAGGCCCTGAGAGTGCGACATGAGGAGAGAGGACGGGGCTTGGAGGGCAGCCCTTGGGGAGTGGTCTGTGGTGGAATGACCTGGACTTAAGGATTGCAGTGGAATTTGGGGTCACGGGGCAGTAGTTCCAGTTTTGGACTTGTCTGAGGGGCCTGGGCTGGGGTTTTGGGAAGAACACAGGGCCCGGCCTCTAGGGATCCGGGTCTGAGGGCACAAAGGACTTAGAAGAGCTGAGACTGAGAAGGCCAGAGGTGACGGGAGCCCTCTCCTGTGGTTGGGCAGGAGGGGGAAGCCACTCATCCATCTCCTTTCTTAGGATGTGTGCCTAATAAGGCCAGGTCTATCCTCCACCCCTTCTGTGTCTCCCTGTCTCCCAGGTCCAAGACCAGGGCTATGCACATGGACGATGTGATACCGTGTGCCATGTGCATGTGTGTTGTACGCACCTGTATAGGTGTGTGTGCATATTTGCACGTGTTCATGCAGGTGAGAGTGTGCAAATAAGCATGTGTGCAATGCCTGAACACTGGGGTCAAAGCCTCCTGATTCCTCCAACGCCCCCCTCCCCTCTCCCCCGCAGACGTCTGTTCCCCTGGATGCCCCCCTTACCTTTGCTCTCTAGCTCCCCTGCCCCTGACGCCCTGGGCCTGACACCCCTTCTCTTGCAGGAACACCCCATCCGCAGCCCCTGCTGCTGCAGCGTCTCTGCTCCGAGCTCCGCCTCAGTCTGCTCGTCCTGGGCGTCAATGTCTTGCTGCTGGTGGCCATCTGTGTGATTGGGTCCCAAAGTGAGTGTCGCAGGGGCCAGCAGGTGTGCGGCAGGGATGGAGGAGGACATACGGGCAGTGCTGGGGGCAGTGAGGGGACAGTCACATGGACAGTGACGGGGGCTGTCATATGGGACACAGCCCTTCCTCTTAGTTCTGTCCCCACTGTGTCCTAACCAGGAACACAGCTGCAAGTGGAGCTGTGGACCCTAAAAGAAACTTTCAGCAATTTCTCCTCGAGCACCCTGGTGGAGATCCGGGCTCTCAGCTCCCACGGTGAGTGGGTGCTGCCCTGAGGGGAGGGGCTGGGGGAGGTTGGGCGGTGGAGGCCCCTCTTTATCAGCAGGGGTTTGCTGGGCTCCGTGCTGGGCACCCAGTGCTGGGTCTGCAGTAGGGTGTGTTTGGGGTGCTGTGAGGGCACAGACTGGGGCAGATAACCCAGCCCGAGAAGCTGGGCAAAGCTTCCAGGGACGCTGATCCCTGAGCTGAGGTATCTGAAGGATGAATGGGTGTTAGGCAGGTGAAGATGATGGGGGTTAGTGCCAGGTAGAGAGAACAGAATCTGCGAAGGCCGGGGGTGAGGAAGACCACTGCACATTTGGGGATTGTAAACACTTCCAGCACGGCAGGAAGCTCCTGCTAGGTGGTGAGGGTGGGCCGGAGGGGTGGGTAGGGGCCAGGCCACGCAGGCAAGCCGTGCTAATGAAGTGAGCCTTTGTTCTGAGGAAGTAGGGACCTACTGAAGGGATTTAAGCAGGAGAAGGTTTGTGCTTCAGAAAGCCACTGTGGCAGTGTAGGGAGACTGGGCGGAGTCAGGGAGGCTGGGGGCAAGGGTGCAATGTTCCAGGTCAAGGTGATGGTGGCCTGGACTGGTGCCCCAGCGACATGAGGATGCAGGGATATTAAGGAGCGGAACAGAGGGAAAATGGGTTAGCTTTCCTCTTTTTCAGGAGGCAGTGCTGGTGACAAGCTGACATCTCTGGAAGCCAAGCTGGAAAAACAGCAGCAGAACCTGAAAGCAGGTCAGACACCCTCCCTTGAGTGTGTGTGTGTGAGTGTGTATGTGTGTGGTGTGTTGTGTGTTTTGTTTCCCCAGCCAAAGGCTGGAGCCCCATGTGGGGTCCTAGTAGGTAGGACACTCACCCTGCCCACACCATTGTCTGTCACTCTGTCCCCCTAGACCATGACACCTTGCTCCTTCATCTGAAGCACTTCCCAGTGGATCTGCGCATCCTGACTTGTCAGCTGGCATCCCTCCAGAGCAACGGTAGGGACAGAGGGAGCCTTCAGTCCCTCTGCGCCTGTGCCCTCCGGCTAGATCTCATCTCCCTCTGCCCCCCAATCCCCTCAGGCACGGAATGCTGCCCCGTTAACTGGATGGAACATGAAGGCAGCTGCTACTGGTTCTCTCGCTCTGGGAAGACATGGCCCGAGGCTGAGAAGTACTGCCAGCTGGAGAACGCCCACCTGGTGGTCATCAACTCCAGAGACGAGCAGGTGAGCCCATACCCTTCCCAAAGGCAGGAGGAAACCTCGGGAAGGCAAACTCTGGGAGGCTGGATCAGGCTTGCTTTATTATTATTTTTTAACCTAAGGAAGAGTCCAGAAGCAGAAGTCTGGAAGAGCTCTGGGATGTTCATAGTGGAGCAGCCGTTGATTCTAAGAGGTGGGAGATTATAGCCAGGAGCTCGGGTAAAGGGGCAGGAGCCAGGTGACCAGGTGACCAGGTGATGAGAAGCAGGTCAGGAGACAGAATTTGATACAGGATGATCAGGGCCACCACTTGGGTGGAGAAGACAGTGGAGGCACTGAGTCCCCACTTGCTGTGTGCTGCAATGTGGTGGTCACTTGGGTGAAAGGAGCAGAGTGGGCGGGATTCCCGGTGACAAGCCTGCCATGGGTTACTGTGTCTCTCCAAAGTGCCCCAGGTCCCCCCGCCCACTGCTGCCACCAGACCACAACCCCGAACCCCGAAGTCAGGTGGGGCGTTTTTTGGAAAAGGAGGATATTAACATAACATTTGCTGAGTCCTTACTCTGTGCCAGGCACTTTCATATATTCACTTCTTTAATCCTCACAACGCTGTGGGGTAGGCACACTTTGAGGGAGGGAGAGATGGGGAACTAAGGAACAGAGAGGTTGAGTAACTTACCGCACAGCCAGTGAGTAAGGATGGAGCCAGAATTCAGAGCCACTCTGCCTCCTTAGCCAGTGTTTTCAACTACTACATGACGCGAGAACATATTTATCGAATACATATATATTTATATAATATATTTAATATATATATTTATATATAATTTATTTAATAATATATCGAATATATATATTTACATGGTGGAATGATTACAAACATATTTTGCTTTGTTGATCAGGTTGAAATTGTCAATATTCACTTAATATTGACCTATAAAAATGTCAGTTTCATGTGGGTCAACCTAAGATTTCAGCGCTCTATGATTTGGCCCACAGCAAAGTCATGACGGCTACAACTTCAAGGTGGATCTGATTGTACTTTCATCCTTATGAAGTGAACGTCAGTGTCCCGTTCAGTGATTTTTGCCTTGAATTCATCTTTATAGAATGGTCCTTGATTTCTTTTCACTTGCATTTGCTTAATCTCTGTCCATCCCTTCATTTCCAACCTTTTTGAGTCTCCGTTTTAGAGTAGTGATTCTCAGCCTTGGCTGTATCTTGTAAGCTCTTGAGGAGTTTAAAAAATATTGACACCTGATCTCACACTCAAAGATTCTGATTTAATTAATCTTGGATTCATCCTGGGCATTGAGATTTTTAAAAGTTCCCCCAAGTGATGCTACTGGGCAGCCAAGCCTAAGGTATTTCTTCTATAGGTTGTGTATAAATTTTGTTTTTGATTTTTTTTTTTTTAAAGATTTTATTTATTTTTTATTTTTTCCCCCCAAAGCCCCATTGGATAGTTGTGTGTCGTAGCTGCACATCCTTCTAGTTGCTGTATGTGGGACTCGGCCTCAGGATGAACGGAGAAGTGGTGCCTCGATGCGCACCCGGGATCCGAACCCGGGCCACCAGCATCGCAGCGCGCGCACTTAACCACCAAGCCACAGGGCTGGCCCTTGTTTTTGATTTTTAAAAATTGAATGAGAGTCTTTTTTATTTTAATAGGTGAATGTATCTCATTTACATTTATTTTTAAATATCTTTAATTTTAATCCTGTATTTTTTCCTGTTTTATGTGCTTCTTTTGTTTTCTCACATTTGCTCTGTGAGATGTATTCTTTTTGTTTTCTCCTCTGTGGTATTTTGGACTAGATGTAGCATATATTTATTTATACTAGTGATTACTTTCATAGCTTTAAATGATGGGCTAAAACTTATTGGCTTCAAAAAATAAGAGTTTATATAACCTTCCACATGAAAGATGAGTAAACCAGCACACTTATTCTTCTTCACATGCTTCATTCTTCTACTTTTTAAAATTGAGATCTAATTGACATATAGCATCGTGTAAGTTTAAGGTACATGACGTGTTGGTTTGATACATTGATATATTACAATATGATTGCTGCAGTAGTGTTAGCTAACACCTTTATCATGTCACATGATTATCATTTCTTTTTTGTGTTGAGAACAATTAAGATCTAGTCTTTCAGCAACTTTGAAGTTTATAATGCCTCCTCTTTTTCTCTCCTAGACTCAAGTGTTTTGCCCAAATAGTTGGAATCTTTTCTATCTTTGAATTTCATTAACCTCATTCAGATATATCTCGGTGTTGCTCATTCTTTCTATATTTTTGCTCTGAGGCCAGGAGAGTCCTTTTAATACATAAAATCAGGTTTTCTAACATTTTAGAAGACTTTCTTAAATCATATGTTTGAATTTTTTTTCTTGTCCATTTTTTCTCTTTTCCTCTGGAGCTCGTCTTCCAAAAATATCTCCATTTTCTGCCCCACACAGCCATCATCTTGTTGCTATTTACTTTGATCTTTCTCTCCTTTCCTCTGCATTCTGGATCCTTTCCTCAGGCCCATCTTTCATATCTCAGACTTGGTTTTCTGCTGAGTTGCTGGGGTTTTTTTTTATTTGGCTCAAATTTTTCTCTTCAATTTCTTTACTTATCATTGTGTTATCTTTCTTCTTTGACATCTTCTTGGATATTTTATGTCATTCAGCTCCTCTTTAATTTTTTTGAGGCTGTAAAGAAGTTGTTGCCCAACATCCCCTTATGTTCTGGAGCATGCCTTCTTTTCAAAGTATGCTTTTCACCTCTCTTTTTGATATCACAGTTCTTTCTTCCTCCTCCTCTTCCTCTTCATTCTCACTATTTTTGCATAAGTTCCATGACAATATTCCCCCTCTGCTACTTTTGTGAATGGGGGCAATTCTTTCTTGCCTGTTATTTACCCATGAAAAGGGGAGAGGAATTCTCCTGGGCCATCTTCTCTTATCACCTGGCACTACTTGATTCCTCCCCTCAGTCTTCAGCATAGAGGCCTGGATATTGATGATTTGTATTCTTTGTTCAGTTATTCAGCTTCTTGTGGTGATGGGAAGAGAGGACTGGGGTAGCAGGCAGCAGCAAATACAATATCTTGTTTTCAGGCTCTGTTGACTCCTCTGAATTTGGGGAGTAGCCCTACCAGCCTCTGAGAGATGCCCCTTCAAGCACAGGACTTTGTCTTATTATCAGGATTCTAGAAGTCAAGGATGCTGTAGTATCTGCCCTCAGACGAGGCGACTAACTGCAAGCCTAGTTGTGTCTCTAAGAAGTGAGAGACGGATTAGGAAATTTTCCTCCACACGCACTTGGAGACCCTTCCCATGCTGTCAAAGGGAACTGCTAGGTTTGCACGCTGGTCAGCCCATTCCTCTGCTTCCTCCTCCCCCTCCCCCTGCTACCCTCCCAAACCGTGGGGCTTAAGTCCCCAGGAAGAGCCATATCCCTAAGAGAAAGCCACTTGAGGGTATTGTCCTAGGGGGTGTGCATGAGTCCTGTGGCGCTATCTCAGAGACCACTTTCACCCCAGCCCCTGCCAGCTGAGTGACTGGGCTGGCCCTCACACCGAGGGCAGCCTCTCTTCTCAGTACGGACTGCCAGACCTCATGTAGCCAAGTCATAATGACACTCTGGGCAGTGGGTCCAAGCTTGGAAGCTCCAGGGCCTGGCAAACCTCCAGAAGTGACAACTACACATAAAGCAGGAGTGGGGCAGATGTACCTGAGAGGCGAGTAAAACCGAGATCCTTAATGGCTGCTGGGGTCATGGGGGCACCAGGGGCAGGGGCGAGAGTCAGGATTCTGAGAGTTTGAGGTTTTGGGCAAAGACAGGGAGAGGACTAGAGTCGGGACAGCGACCATGAGTTGGGAATAAAGTGGGAGGCCAGGTCAGGGGCAGCGTTCACAAACTCAGGCACTGGGTTAACTTTCTGGGCTTTACCAACTACCGTAAGTTCCTTAACTTCATGTGTAAAGTGTGGATCATTCGGGCACCCAATTTAAAGGGCTTTATGAGAACTAAATAAGGTAATCCTTGTAAAGCACTTAGCATGAGGTCTAGCCCCGTACCTTTACAGAAGAAAAAGCAAGGAACTAGTTGAGTTGAGGGCTGATGGGTCCGCCTGGGGGCAGATCAGGCTGGGGAAGGCTGACGGAAGCGTAGCTAATGCCTGGATGGAGGTACAGGGACTAGAAACTTCCCTCCTGCCTGTTTTCCAGAAATTCATTGTACAGCACACGAGCCCGTTTCGTATCTGGATAGGTCTCACCGACAGCGAAGGCCCCTGGAGATGGGTGGATGGCACAGACTATAAGAGTAGCTACAAGTAAGTGCTCCCCCTGCCCCGTTAGTTTGGCCTGGGGATGGCCACATGGTCTTTTGCCCCAGTACACTCCCACCTGTCACTCAGGGACCAAATTCCCCAACCCTTATCCCCCAGACTCCCAAACTCCAAGGCTACACCCCTCCAAGGCTGTGCTTTTCTGAGGTGGGGATGAGAGTTGCTGGTTTGGGGGGAGGCCAGAGCTGGAGCTTTGTCCTGCCTTCCTAGGAACTGGGCTGTCACTCAGCCAGATAACTGGCAAGGGCACGAACAGGGAGGAGGTGAAGACTGTGTTGAAATTCATCCTGATGGCCGCTGGAACGATGACTTCTGCCAGCAGGTGCATCGCTGGGGGTGTGAGATGAAGCGGAACCTCACCATCTAGGAGCCCTGAGCTCCGCAGACCTCTAAGCCCCCCTCCCTGCCCCCAGCTTCTCTATTGGGGATTTTGAAGAAAGGAAGAAGAGAGTCAGAGCCATGGGGAGGGGTGGAGGAAAGACAGAAGAAGGTGGTTTAAGAATCTCAGACCCTGGGGAGACTGAGGTCCTGCCTCCTTCTACAAGTCACTGTAATTATTAGAATTTTCAGCCTCCACGATGGAGTAGGAAAGAAGAAACAAATATGTGAAACTCTGCGTGGACTGGTTATTTGGAACTGGGAAATGTAGGGTGCAAAGAAGAGGGAGGGGAGGGGGTCTGGAAGAGAGAAAGTTGAAGTCCTAGCCAGCTGCTCCTTGACACCCCGTCCAGAGGGACGCAGGTCAGTGGCAGGCACTCGGGGTTGGAGGGAAGGAGCTGGCTGGGCTGGGCTGGAGGGTCTGTGACACCCCGAGGGGTTCCTGAAGGAAGCAGCTTTCCCTGCAGTTGGGATGTCCTCCTGAAGAGGTTTCAGGGAGCATCCTGCTCCGCTCTCAGCTTGGGAACTGTGGACTGGGCTGGCAGAGGCCAGTGGAAAAGGTTTGCCAAGAGAAAGAGGATTTCCAGCGTGGCTGTCTCTTTTTGATCCCAAACAGATCTAGACATATCTCCAGCACATGGCGTCACCAACAATTTCCACAATGGGTAAACTTCACCTTCCAGGTCATTCTGAAACCGACCTTAAAAGGGTCTTTAAGCAACTAGATTTTTTGTTTTATTTTTATTATAAAAGTAAAATATATTATTGGTAAAAAATATTTCAAATACACACACATCCCATGCACACAGGGAGTGTCCTTCCCTCGCCCCACCCACTTCTCCCCAGAGTTAACAATTTCATGGATTTTATATTACTCATAGTTTTACAAAGAAACAGAACCAATAGAATGTGTATGTATATCTATCTATCTATCTATCTATCTATCTCTCTATCTATCTATCATCTATCTATCTAATCTATCTATCTGTCTGTCTGTCTATCTATCTAATCTATCTATCTAATCTATCTAATCTATCTATCTATCTGTCTAATGTATCTGTCATCTATCTATCATCTATCTATCTATCTATCTATCTATCTATCTATCTATCTATCTATTATCTATCTATCTATCATCTATCTATCTATAGAAAGAGATTTATTACAGGGAATTGGCTCATGTGATGATGGAGGCTGACAAGTCCCAAGTCCTGCAGGTGAGTAGGCAGGCTGGAGACACAGGAGAGCCCATGGTGCAAGTTCCAGTCTGAGTCCAAAGGCCTGAGAACCGAGAGAGCCGATGGTATAGTTCCATGCGAGGGTGGCAGGCTCAAGACCCAGGAAGAGCCGGTGTTTCTGTTCAAGTCCAAAAGCAGGAAAAAAGCCGACGTCCCGGTTTGAAAGGGGTCAGACAGGAAGAACTCTCTTACTCACTGGAGGTTTAGCCTTCTTGTTCTACTCGGGGCTTCAACTGATTGGATGAGGCCCACCACATCAGGGAGGACAATCTGCTTTACCAATTCAAATGGTCATCTCATCCAAAAACACCCTCACAGACACACCCAGCATAATGTTTGACCAAATATCTGGGTGCCCTGTGACCCAGTCAAGCTGACACGTGAAATTAACCATTACAGGTTTCCTGTCAGGATGTTTCCTGCAGACGTGCATATATGCAACACGACGTATCATGATGGACCTTGCTTTTGTCACTTTACAGTGTCTTGCGGACATTGATCCACTCTATGCTCTTCCCCGACAGGTTTTACCTCATTGAATCTAGCAGGGGTAGAGAATTCCAAGTACGTATGTGTCATATCTTATTTATTCCTTCTCTGTGGTGGGCAAGTAATGGCCATTTATGTTGGTTTTCACATATATTTCAAGCCATTTTTGCTTCTAATCTTGTGCTGGGTCAAGACTTTCCAATTTTTAGTTGGAAAATTTTCTAGGATTTCGCCTACAAAATGTATATGATTGGCATTAAATAAAAAAATTATGAATGTATTAATACATGCAATTTAAAGTCTTAAAGGGCTAAGAAGCAGCCACTCCTGCTGTTCAGAGAAACTGCTTTCAGTATTTTAGCTGTTTCTTCCATTATTGACATCTGAAGTTCTAAATAATACACATAAACAAATATTTCTTGATTTATCAACTGTTGACATTATTCAGTCACTCTTTATCATGTAGATGCGTACAATCTTCCCATTTAGTCTACCACGATTTTTTTATTTAAATCCTAGCTCGGAATCTGTATCAGTTAAGGCTGTGTCAATGTTGTTAACCACTGAGCCAAGTAGCATAATGTGATTACTTTTCCTTTCTTGCACAACTTTTGTTTCTTCTGAAGTTAATAATTGTTTCATTTAAAACTTTGCTTCAGGGGCTGGCCCGGTGGCGTAGTGGTTAAGTTCTGGTGCTCCGCTTCTGCGGCCCGGGGTTCACAGGTTCGGATCCCGGGCGCACACCGACGCACTGCTTGTGAAACCATGCTGCGGCGGCGTCCCATATAAAGTAGAGGAAGATGGGCACAGATGTTAGCCCAGGGCCAGTCTTCCTCAGCAGAAAGAGGAGGATTGGCATCGGATGTTAGCTCAGGGCTAGTCTTCCTCAGCAGAAAGAGGAGGATTGGCATCGGATGTTAGCTCAGGGCTAGTCTTCCTCAGCAGAAAGAGGAGGATTGGCATCGGATGTTAGCTCAGGGCTGATCTTCCTCACACACACACAAAAAAAATTTGCTTCATATTCTTTGAACCTATTGTAAAATCTTCCTTAACTGTAAGAAAGCCTGACAACATAATTTTCTGTGCATGCAAACTGGTCATGTAACCAGTATTTCAGTTGTCCTTTTTTCCTAGAGCCACAGAGGTGAATCCAAGTTTTATGGGGCCTGAAGTGTACATAATTTTGGCGAGCCCTACTTAGGAAAAAATGCAAAACTATGAATACAAAATTAAACATAAAAGGTAATATTTAAATTAGAAAAAAACAAATTAAAAAACTGAAAGCTACCATAAACATCACAAAATCCAGAAAAATGGTATATTTTTAATAATCTGCCACAAGAAGATTTGGAAGATTATTAAAATCTAAAATCCATTTTCCCGATACTTTTTTGCTGCATACTCATTCTTGACTTCTGCATGTGACAAAAAGGTTGTAAAGTGACTTTCCGTAGAGAGAAGAGAAAGATAATGGAGCGTCTCCTCTTCCATGTCTCTTCTCTGTTACTGATGTCAAGTGCTTCAGGGTGCTCACATCCCACCTTCACGTCACCTCCCAAGTGAGTCTGCATGGTGAGTGGCAGAAGCACCTGAGAGCCATTCCCGTGCTGGTGGGCCAACCACGTGGATCCACGATGTGACTGCAAACCACACATCTGTGTCCCTCTCGACTCAAGCCAAACCTATTTCCGACCTAACTTCTTAGTCGGATGAGAAAAGCCACCTGACACCAAGGGGAGTGTGAAGGGGGGGAGTTGGAGTGGAAAGTGAGAGGGGTCATCTTAGCTGATTGTAGTTAAAATAACTTCTTTTCATAATTTACAAAAACTTACGATCATCTGAAGGCATTGCTAGGGCCCTTGAGGGCTTGTAGGGGACCCACGTAGGGCCCTTGAGATCAAGCTCCCTTCGGCTCCTGGTCAGTCCACTCATGTATTTCGTCCCCTGCCCTGCCCACTAGTCTCTGTTCTCAGCTCCCACCAGAGAGGTTGCTCTCTCAGCCTGCGGCAGAGCAGTTTTCTCAGGATTTCCCACTCATCCTTTCTCTTTCCCCTGGGTTGGATCCTCTCTTCCCTGGATCCCTGTCTTCTTTCTTGGCTTATTCCTTTTTTTTTGTTGAAGCATCTCCTCCAGTAGCTTTCTGAAAAAGTGTATAGAGAGACATTTTTTGATAGATTGATTGATCATTTGTGGGAATATAGAATTCTAGATTGAAAATAACCTTCTTTCACTGTTTCATAGGCCTCACTCTGTGTTTCTAGCTTTCAACATGCTGTTGAGAGGTCTGACCCTCCTCCAGACCTGATCCTTTGTAGGTGAACTTTCCCCCCTTCTTTAGGACGTTCCCCTTAACCCCCAGTGTCTGAAAATCACTACTGATGTCCCCTGGAGGGGGCCTCTCAATCATTACATGGCTCTCACGAGGCTTTTTTTTTTTTTAAATAATTTTATTTATTTATTTATTTTCCCCCAAAGCCCCAGTAGATAGCTGTATGTCACAATTGCACATCCTTCTAGTTGCTGTATGTGGGACTCGGCCTCAGCATGGCCGGACAAGCGGTGCGTCGGTGCGCGCCCCGCATCTGAACCGCGGCCGCCAGCAGCGGAGCGCGCACTTAACCGCTAAGCCACGGCCGGCCCTCGCGAGGCTTGTTTAATTTGGGGAGGAGATGATGTAAGAGAAGCAGCTGAGAGCCGGGTGGTTGGTCTTTTGGGCTGTGGTGAGGATCCTGCTGCTATTTGCTCGAAATCTGCTGGCTGTGTCAGGCGCTGCCTTTCTCCCCGCTCAGTGTCCCCAGGTTCCTCGGGAAAACCTCAGGAGACTCGGGTCCGACGTGCAACGTGACCTCACACTGTTGATTTGTATTTTCCTCCGAATCTTAGATGTCAGTCTTTTATGCTCCAAACTTACTCTCTCAACCATTGATTTATATTCTGAATTGAAAATATAACTTTTAAATTATTACATTAAAAGTAAGTGCTAGTTATGGCTAAGTGAAAGAAGCCAATCTGGTGGCCCACCCCGTGGCTTAGGGTTAAGTGCACGCGCTCCGCTACTGGTGGCCCGGGTTCGGATCCCGGGCGCGCACCGATGCACCGCTTCTCCGGCCATGCTGAGGCGGCGTCCCACATACAGCAACTAGAAGGATGTGCAGCTATGACATAAAACTATCTACTGGGGCTTTGGGGAGTAAAAGGGGAAAAAAAAGGAGGAGGATTGGCAATAGATGTTAGTTCAGGGCTGGTCTTCCTCAGCAAAAAGAGGAGGATTGGCATGGATG